AGATAAAAAGAAATCATCTTGTTCAACGCTGTTGGTTTTTTCGATTTTTGCACCTCCAAAATTGAAAATGTCTTGTTTGCTACGTTTTGCATAGTAATAAAAAGTTATAGTAGGAAAGAATGGGAAAAAAAAGAAAGATGGAAAAGAAAGATGAGAAATGAAAATTAGAAAATTTGTGAGATTATTATAATGGTAAGAAGTGTTTCCGCCCATCAAATCGTGCACATTTCTTACCATTACTACAATTGGACCTCGTCAGTACGATCATTGTGAGAATTGAAATTAGTGAAAGTTAGAGCTAAATTAGTTTTGTAATGTATTTTAGTAGTGTTAGTAAGTTTTCACGTCTCCGTCTGAGCAGAACAGTAGCCATTGCTTTGCTGCGGGAGAATTACATGGTGTAAAATTTGTATGCGAAATTTGCATAAATCTTCATTTCTATAGATTTCTGCTTCTTATTGGCTTTATCATCGCAATTTATTCATCCACTTTTCATTGATGAAGTCACTGTTTCTGTCGTGGTGGCATGATGCGGTCGTGTTCTGTGAAACTTGTACTTCTTGGAGGGCAAGCGTGTGGCGCAGTGTAATTTTCGGGATGTATTCCACCCGTGACACCCTAAAAGACTGATGTTTTCTGCCCTGGATTTTGCAGTAGCTTTGCTGGCTATAAAATCTTTATTATCTGCTATCTCATTGCGGGAAGCTTTACCGCAAATGCCCCCCCCGCTCCCCCCCGGCTCCATCCTCTTCCTTTACCCTGGTGGTTGCGGTATTTCACAGCTGTATCACTTGGTGGTAGAGTTTTCACTGAAAATCTTAACGTTTGTTGATCTTCCGCCTATTCCTGTTTTCACAGAACAAAGTAGTGAATTCTTTCTGACCTTTCCGTCGTTTTTTTTTTTGCCTTTTTAGTTCATCTACTAAAAATCTCTCTGCGAAATCGATGATTTTGACGTTTAAAAAGATACATATATACCAGGATTTAGGATATGATTCCCACCCCTAACCACACCTTCAGTTGTCTGTATTCACAGCTAAGGGATGAAACACAGGCGAATATTCCTCCTACATATTCTCAGCATATGAGATATGAATATGTCACATTGTTTATAAAACATGTTCCAAAACACTATCTCCCGATCCCCACCATACGCATTAGCTTATTTCACATGGAGTATTAAGCATGAATTTTCCTGTTCTGTTCTACCTATTTAGTTTATAAAGAAATTCCCGAAATTTTAAAAAGTCCGGTAGCAAAGATATCGAGATTCTACCAAGAATTTTTTTTAATTTTATCACTAATTACTGTTATTATTTTTG